TAAAGACATTTGCGAAATTCAACACCACCGATTCCGCCAGCGCGGTGCGAGAGTCTGTTTCGATTATTATCGATACCCTCTACTCGCCCTAACTGACTTCACTTTAGAACACTTCGACGCGAACCCGCATTGACGCAATTCGAAACCGCTCAAATCGCCAATTTGTGTCCCGTCGATGCTGAGGAGGCAAAGAGCGTCATCCCAAGGTAATGCACGAGTTCTTTTATTTGTTTATATCGATGTGATGAACGTTCTTGTGCAGTCTGGTAAAGATCGAGGATGATAGATTGCAAGCATTACTCGACGAGATACAGTTGATGAGAAAGTTCCAGTCCTGAATGATATCGGTCGTTGCCATGTTGTCCGACGTTCATCGCTGGTCCGCTCCTATCGTTGTCGACTTGCTCCAGTACTTTGGCACCTCAAAGTACATGCATGCTGAGCCTCTATCTGTGGGTTTCACATCTTGGAGACCGAGTAAAGCACATTACTACTGCCCTCTGTGTCATTCAGGTACAAGTTCTACGTGGATTATCATACACTGCCATTCCAGTGTTTTCATCATGCGAATGCCTACCTCATAACAATAATAACAAGCCTAGAACAATGTCAATAACTTGATAACTCGTATGTCTCTGCCCATTAGCGAGCTTAAGGTGCCACGCTCCGATGCCGAAAAATATTCAACGCAAATCTTGCTTCAGTCAAGTGAAAATACCTCAGCTCGCTCAGTGCATTGGGCTCGTGCATGTCGATCGATGCCTATTTCCAGAATGTAAGAACGGGGCATAGTGCTAATCAATTTGTAGTCCGGGATTAAGCTAGCACTGTCACACCAATGATGCAATCGCAGAACATGAGTGATTGAATCGTGAAGACCATTTGGCTTCACAATTCAATCGAACCCCTAAATTATAATCGCTAATGCTCATGAAAACATCTGCATATCCTTGCATATCCAATGACTTCTAACTCACTTTCCCTGCATTTACCATCACACAGATTAATATGTCATATTTCCTAGCTTACGTTCTAACAAGGCGAATGCTCGCTCATTAACCGGTCACGTACCAGGTTGACCAACCCAACTCGCAAGTCCTATATTTCACCGCCGACGGCTCTCACAGTGGACTTGGGAACAGTTGCAACAGACAATAGGAAATATGTAAAATGAATTCCGTCCCTGCTCTTCGTCCGACACGTCCATCGCGTCCGTCTAGTTATCCCCACTGCCGCCTCGCATAACATTCCCCGCAGTAGAGGCTTGCTTTGTGTGCTTGAGATACCATTGTGCACCGATTGTGCACCTTGCAAGTAATATAAGATAGGAAACACAGCTACTAGTTAGCCTTCCATATCCTCCAGGCGGGATTTGTTCAGTTTACTCTCTGTCTCCTCATCGTCTTCTATGATCGGAATTCCTTGTTTATCAGGGAAACTCGTCAGGTCAAACTTTCTCTTCTCCTTGAATGGATTGTCTCTCTTGTCTCCCTTCTTTATAACGGCAGCCGCGGGAATAATGCCTTTCGGGTTCAAATACAGCAGATCATCACCTCCATACGTGTCGATTGAGCGCACCCACGCATCAAAACTGTTTATCTTCATCAGTTTAAGTGGCAATCAACACAGTCAGAGGTACCCACACCCCGTCGCGGTCCTCAATGCACCGCATATTATCATAAATAAAGGTCTGTTTAAATGCATCGATGGACTCTCGGTGTTTTTCGAAATCAATTTCAGGTCGGTAATCTGGATGAGAAGGCTCGATCTTTTCGTTGATCGAAGTAACTTTCTTGTTATATGAGTCGAATATTGGGTACTCCAGCAAGAGACCAAGGGCAGGCATTTTTGGGACCATGACCATGCGCGGCCCGTATAGCTGTGGGAAGGGTCGAATTATTTTGTAGCCTCATCAGGTAACACAGGAACTAACCTCGTCGATGACTTGTCCTGGTGTACCTGTCCTACAAGACAAGACAAGAGCGGACATCATTTTGCGCTGCGACCAATTTGTCATCGTATCACTTCTACCAAAGTACAAACTCTTACGATCTAAACAAAATGAATAAGAGCAACGTTATGAATAAGAAACTAGCTCACCTGATGTAACATAAAGCTCTGCCCATGGAAGAGGACGCTTATCCACTCGGTGTCTCCATAGACCGCAGGATCAGATATCTGTCGAGATGTTATCAGATGTCAGCTAGCTACAACTTCACCAGCCTACCTCAATTTTCCACATATGTCGCTGATTACTGCGATCTCCAAACTCACGTCCCACAGTAAAGTTATGGAAGTTATGCGTCCCTTCGAACTTCTTTGCAGTTTCACGGATGAGTTCTACCTGATCTGCACTTATCCTCCACATGCGCTTGCGTACGAGATCATCCATAGAGCTGGAAGAATGAGACTCAGGTGCACTCCAGAAGGGGTGAGCGGAAGCATCTAGAGGGACAACGCCCTGCATCGACTGTGTATGTTGTTCATATGCACGCTGAAATCCCGACTCCGGCTTTGGAGGTATAAGGAGGTACGAGGGGAAGAAGTAGGTATACTTGCGGCTGTCGCAAGACCTGAAAAAGAGCTTGTGAGATGGTCCACTAAAATCACACTCGTGAACCCACATGCGAGCATTGAATGAGTTTTGCACGCGGACCTGAGTCACTTCGAAGTTATTTCCTGCCTTGGAAAAGAGAAAGAATGCATACGGAGCCCCAAACACGAATCTCTGGTGGGAGTTCTTCGTTTACACGTGCCACCCAGTCTTCCACCCCAGGAATCGCAGTGATCAGTTTCATAGACACCAGGTTGCCAGCTGCGTGGACTCCCGCGTCGGTGCGAGCCGCGCGCCCGAGATTTACCTAGAAATATGAAGCCTCTGAGTAACACATCATGACATGGACCGTGGAGCAAGTGCCATACCTTCACAGGGTCGTCCGCATTGTCTGATGAGACTGCGCCAGCACGCACGAGTGCATCAAACAGGACACCTTCAATTGTCCGCACGTCGGGTTGTCTGTTTTCATTACACACGCATATTCAGCAGTGCAATGATAGCGGAAGGACAGGAGAAAAATATAAAATATTTTCTCTAGTAGGGCAGAGATAGAAGACAAGAAAACAAACCGCCAAGAAACTAAGGACGAAAAAATAAACCAAAATTCAGCGTACATTTGCATTCCATTACACCCCGTCCCGCAAAACCCAATAAGCAACGCACTCTGTTTCTTAGGCAGGCGCGGGGCTCTAGGGCCCTGCTCCTCACCCTCCTTCTGACCATCCTTATCATGATCACGCGTCCCCCGTCTACGCCCCTTGTTCTTCGTATCTTTGGCCTTTCCCCGCCTGGACTTCGCCCAACCTGCTGCATCCCTCTTTCCCTGCTTCGTATCGGCGGCGGGTGCGTCGGAAGGGCCTCCATGTTCGGTTGAATGCAAAGTTTTCTCAGGTTCCTCATGTTCAATCTTCACGCGTTTGAAGGACTCTGAGCTCCCTTCGGTGATTGGTCGTTTGGCAGGGGGAGAATGTGACTGCTCTGGGTTGTGCAGGTCATACATCACGTATATGTTCCTTCTGCGCAATGTCTTTGATTATTGATGCAAGGGTCGTGAATGGGTCAGCCAGAAAACAGAACGATAAGCATACCAGTAGTGGTGTCCGATGGAGGGTGTATTGAAAAAGTCTCCACATATGATCGAATTCGAATTTCAGAAGTTGCCGATTATGGTGGTCTTAATTGGGAGCAAGAAACTAACAAGAAAAAGGCTGATCGTTTCCCCTAGCCAGACCTTTATAGATGAAGGAAGACAGTCATTCATTCTAGTAAGAATTATTTACATAACAAGGTGAAGATATAGTATGCTCTATGGTCTGTACATGATGTGTAGATGCAAATTGCAAAGTATGTCCGCTTCAGATAAAAAGTTACCTCAGGTGCATCACGCTTGCCCACATAGGTGTACCACCCGCTCCTCGCACCGCCTATAGTTACCCACAAGGTCATCATAGACCTTGGTCATCTCACCTTTCGGGGTTGCAACCAGCTTCATCCTCTCCACCTCACCCGTTTCCATTGACATCTCCTCAAAGCTCCTACTCGCGCCCCCAACATGCGCCTTCCACCATGCAAACTTCGCGAGCACTGCACCTCCCGTCCCCGCAGCCTCCTTGCTCTCTGCAACGTAAACTCGCATCCCAAACAGGTCAGCTGCGAGTTGCCGGATCGTCTGATTTGCCGACGAACCACCAGTGACAATCAGCCGCTGCAGCGGCGGTGAGTGCGGCGGAAGAATGGCAGCAATGCGTGATTTGATGCTGAGGAATTGGCTCTCGAGGATCGCGCGTGCGTGCTGGGAGGCATCTGGCTGCAGTCCATGCACTAGCTGTGGTTCCTCATTATCTTTGCACTGGAATATGAATTCGCCCTGAACCCCTGGAGGAATGATCTCGGGGAGGGGGAAGTAGAATCCCATCAACCCAGAGCTGCCCTGCGACGACTGCTCTACGAGCTTATTGTACCGTGCCCAGTCTGCGCCAGCACAGCGGTCACGGATCTGCTCTCGCGCAAGAGCACCGTTCTTGTAGCAAAGCATCGCAATCTGCGCATCGACAGTTGTAGGATGCGAGAGGAGGTGCGAAGTTGTGAAACGGGCGGGGGGCGAGTCGGCAGGGGGAATGCTCAACAGAAGTGTTGTGCTTGTGCCCAGGGACAGGAGTGCATCACCTGGTGCTGAAAGAGCAACGACGGTCGCAGAGTTATCACCCGTGAATGGTGCAATTATGCAATCTATAGGTACTACAGATGAGAAATATTGCCAACCAATATGAAAAATAAAATGCAGACCTGGGTTGAATCCCCAGCGTTCAACCCACCACTGGGAGATGTGTCCGAGAATGGTGCCGCCGACGACAGGCTCAGGGCCGATTTTAGCGCGTAGCTCGGGACCGCCGCATGCCTCAAGGAGTGCATCGTCCCACTTACATGTGAGTACGTTCATCAGGTTCATCCCGCTCGCGTCAGAGACCTCGATCGGGGCGATATGCCCGAGGAACAGGGAAGGGATGAACGACGAGACAAGAGATATGCGCGCAGAGTCACGGTAAGCGGCGGGTTTGAGGCGACGGATCTTCGTAGAGCAAGAATTGGTGCTCAATCATTGGACACTGGTAATACAGTATGTACTACGCACCCGAGCAATTTGGGGTCCTGTGAACCGCTCATAGGCTCTGCTTCCTGTAAGATCTGCAAGCACCTGTGGACCACCGACAGCGGCCTCAAGGTTACGGCAGTCCTTGGTCGTCGAAGAGTCCTGCCAGATGGGTGCATTGGGCAATGCAA